AATAAAAGTGGCCATTTGAGTTACAATGTTAAAAAAAAATATTTTTTGTATACTACATCTGCCAAATGTCCTTAGCCATTTGAACCAGAATGTTAAAAAAAATATTTTTTGAATACTACATCTGCCAAATGTCCTCCATTGACATTTATGCATTCTTGGAGTCGAGCCTGAAAGTTCTGCATAACTCTTCGCAGCATATTAACAGGTATTGCTGCAATCTCCTCACGAATTCGTGTTTGGCAGATGTAGTACGAGGGTTGCCTTTTATATTTCGGGAATAGAGAAAACAAACAACAATTAATCATCGTACATGGCTTTATTGTTTTTCAAAATATTCTCCATGAAGATCGACACACTTTTGCATGCACTTGAACCAATTTTCGAAGCATTTTTTTCACTCCGATTAAGGCACCTCCAAAACTTGCATTTTCAACGCATCAACCGCTTCTAAAGACCCACACAGTCGACTGCTGTTTACTTTCAGGTTCATACACGTAGATCCATGATTCGTCACCTGTTACAATGTCATGAACATGTTTTGAAGCTCCGCCATCGTATTTTTTAAGCATTTCTTTTGACCACTAGACCCGAAACTTTTTTTGATCGATTTTCAAATTATGTGGGATCCAACGGTAACAATTTTTTCTGACGGCCAAATGTTCATTTAATATTGAATGTATGCTGGTCCCACTCATGCCCAAGGATATGGCAAGCCGTTTTAGTTTTTATTACACATAGCTATCAAGTCCCATTTTAATTCGACTTGATTTCCATGAGACATTAGATAATTGAAATTATATGTATTTTCCTTAAGGGAAATTACATTTTAATTACAAATTATAAATAAAATTCCTTTTTTAATAAGCATTGAAATTTTGGGTACATTAAATTGAAAAGATTAGATGTAGAGGATGATTTACATTCGAAATTGTAATAAAAATACTAAAACATTTCATTTTTATTTGAAATAATAATAAAAATTATTTTTATGACAAATAGTAATTTTAATGCAAATTTCGTTAAGGAAAGTAGTTTTTATTATAATTAAGAATTTAAATGCATTTACGTTAACGGAAATGCAATTTCCCTTAAGGGAAATATCATTTCTGTTAAGAGAAATTGTATTTCCCTTAAGGGAAATAGCATTTCCGTTAAGGGAAATTGGCGCCATCTATGAGAGGACGGCTGAAGTTCAAATAGTTAATTTTATCAAAATTCTATAAAATGAAATTATTGCACTGTGATTTTACAAAAGATTTATTAGTAAAAAGTATTTTTTTGATTGTTACCTTTTTAATTTAAAAACCAACCGTTACACCTGTTGACATCCACCCACAAAATATCACCCACCAGTGTTGCCAGATGTAAAAAGTGAATTTATCGACAAATCATCGACAAATTATTGACAAAATTATCGAATTTTCAGAAAATTGTCACAAAATTTGTATTGATAATGCTATAATAATAGTAATATTAATAATTATGGGTACTACTCGAGAAAACCAAACTCTCCGAATCGAATCGCGATGACACCGATCGACTTTGGAATCGCATCATTCGAATCGAATGTTGTGTGGCAACGCCGCATGTGTAAGGTGTGTTTTAACGTTTCTAATAAAGGATATTAAAACGAAAAGAAGTAGTAAATAGCAAACTGTAGTAGTAATATTATTCATTATTGTTAATTGTGTCATATTTGTTGCATTCAAACAAAATGAAAGATTCTGGCATTCCAACCAAAGTTGACAGAACTCTGTAAGCGGTGGAACCTTCGGCATCTTCACCACAGATAGCGCCACTAATTTCTCTTAAGGGAAATGTAATTTCTGTTAAGGGAAATAGCATTTCCGTTAAGGGAAATAACATTTTCGTTAAGGGAATTGTAATTTCCCTTAACGGAAATATAAGTTTATTTTTGTTTAGTTAAAAATAAAAGTAATTCGAGCTATTTTTTGTACACATGATCATTAAGTCTCATTTTAATTCGATGTTATTTTCTGATTCTCTAAATATTGTTAGACTCTATGTATTGCGGTTCTAAATTTTTTTCGGGAACAACATTCCAATGAGTATTTCAAATTAAAATGTTTTTAATTTTTATGTCATTTAGGAAAGTATAAAACTATATCTTTAAGGACAAATGCATTTATATTCGTAATAGTAATTTTAATACGTTTTATTTTAATACTTAGCCTGGTCTAACATAAATAAAATGTAACATTGTATCCAAGTCAGAAGCTACTTTAATAAAATTGAATTAAAATAAAATCCTTTTAATGTGTCATAAAATTGCTCCAAAAAACTAAAACAGTAAAAATAATTTGCATTAAAATTATAATTAGTAAATTTAATACAATTTCTGTTAACGAAAATTGCTTTCACGTTAAGGACAATATTTAAAAAACCAATGGAAATAAATACAACAAATGCATTATTTTTACTATTTGTAAAGAAAATATGCATTCAATTTTGAAATTATAATAAAAATGTAATTTCCCTTAAGGAAAATACATATAATTTCAATTATCTAATGTCTCATAGAAATGAAGTCGAATTAAAATGAGACTTGATAGCCATGTGTAATAAAAACTAAAACGGCTTGCCATACAAGGATGACCCAATCTCACGATATGTCACATGATGATCTTGCATTACCAGTTCACGCACAGCATCAATGTTTTTTGCAAGAACGAGTGATTTTGGATGACCTTCACGAAATTCGTCGGTGAGCGAACCATGGCCATGATTAAATTCGGAACACCACCGATATTCACTTGTTTTTTATGGCACTTTGTCGTCAAAAGTCAAATTAAGTTCATTGATGCATTATTGTCGGGATAATCCACGTTAAAGTTGTAAAAATTATAGCACGAAAATGTTCACGGGTCAATTCCATTTTTTTGGCCGACATTAATTTTTCAAGTGACTGTTAATAATACTAATTGCGCTCCCACGTCAAAACGTTTTAAGTAAGAACACCGTCTAAAAGGTCGAACTTAACGATACAGACATCTGTTGTCCGATAGCATCAGCAGGTTCGGCCATTCCCGAAATATAAAAGGCAACCCTCGTATTCAAAAAATATTTTTTTAACATTGTAACTCAAATGGCCACTCTTTTATTTCCCATAATTAATAATTATTAAAAAAATAATTTATCAGCATAAAAATAGATTACGAAATATTCCCGTTTCATTGCCGAACCCTGTATTATACTACAAGTAATCAAAAATATGTTAAATATATTGAGGTGTGATATGGGTGAATATTTCAAAAGTGTAATTCAATCGGTTCTGGCTTGTTATTTTAAAAGTTAAAAAAAAACAAAATACTCGATGTCCATTTTAATTAACTATTTTTTACCTGATCCCTTACTTATTTTAGTCTAAACGAGCATAGTAAAAAATATATTTTAATTTTTGTGTCGCAACGTCACATTCAAAGAACAACAACATATTATTTTCTTACATTTATTTACAAATTAAATCTTGCAATATCCTGTCTAACACAGATGAAGAAAATACAAAATAATACAATGCAAGCAAGAAATTGCATTTTAAAATGTTAACTTTTCTTTTAATGCCGTTTCAACTTTGTTCACATCCATGAGCGTCATTGCCCTAGCTACTTAAAATGTATCTAATTTCATATTTAAATACGCGATACATTCAAAAAATGCCGAAAGTTTTCGAACGTCTGATGGAAATATCCTGCCTGTATGTCAATCCATAAAGTTGTGACGTGCGCCGAATGAAACCGAAAACGGCTTGTTACGTCTAAGTCCGTCATTGTCGGGGAAAGTATTATTTCAAAGTTTATGGACATACAAAATATTTACATTAATACAAAGAAGTCTTGCATTAACAAAAAGCAAATGGTAACTTGAAAACTCCATTACATTTTCGAATAAACATTGTAAAACACTAACCTTAAAATCATCATTACCGTGTTCGTCATTGTCGTGTCCCTTACATGTAACCAATTTAAAATATTTCATTTCAGTGGGAAATTAATAAAAATGACAAAACCACAAAACAAGTTGACCAACGAAGCTAAAAGACAAGCAGAGCGTGAGAAACGCAGAGGAATAAGAGATGACCAAGTAAAACCATGGGTTCAACTTTCTAAAAAATTTACGTTTTTAGTCTTCATGTCTAAGTTTATGAGTGTAAAAGTCCTTAAAGTGCAAAATTAATAAGATTTGCAATTTTTTTATGTGTTAACGAAAATGGTTCCGAAAATCGACAGTTTTAAAATATTCACCCATATAGCAAATATTGTTTGTGCTTGCTTTCAACAAGTACAAGTACTATTCGCAACCACAAACAATATTTCCTATATCACACCTCAAAATATTTGAGAAATATTTTTGATTACAATTGTACTTAAGTGGCATTTGGAGGACAATTTTATTAAACCAAAATATCAAAAATTTTAAATTAAAAGGCATCAAAATTGAGTTGCCCAAAATATTCACCCCGTAGTAACAATCAATTTTTGACCAATCAAAAGTAATTGTTGCATAGGTATATTGGACTAGTACAAATTACACTAAATAATGTACTAGTAATATATATATATTGGCTGCATTTTGTACTAGTCCAATATTTGCAAATTACTTTTAAATGGTCAAATATTGACAAATAGCCACTCTGATGGATACACTTACAGGTGAAAAAAAGTGTCATATAGGTAAATATAAATTTTATATATAAAATTTATATTTATATTGTTGGGTTTTGTATCTAAAAGACCTATGTCAGTAGGTATACCTACTGACATAGGTCTTTTAGATACAAAACCCAACAATTGCATTTTAGAATAGTAAAATACGAAACGTGTAGGTAGCAATAACATGATATTGGTAGGTTACCCACCTATTTGATTATTAACATTTTGAATATTTACATTTAACTTTTAGCTGCCAAAATTTAGCATAGCATAGCATACCAAAAAAAAATGCTTGTAAAAAATGTGTTTTAAAAAAATAACTATTCTTACCTGTTTAAAAAAGCTTTCTTTCTTTTCATCCTCATTTAAATTAAGACAATCTTCATTAACTTTATCAAAGACATTGCCTTCTGCTTCTATTTCAATATTTAAACAATTACAAGATCTCATAATAAATTCGAATCTAATCTTATAGAATCTCAAATAAGGCAAACTTAACTTAAGCTTTAAAAAATATTTAATTAAGTTACGTAAATAAAATTACATGCCCGAAGTATTTCTTTCCAAGTCAAATTTAATAAAAATATGTATGTAGGTATGTAATTAGTAACAATCCTTTTTACGTAACCTTAAAACACCACACAAAGAACATAACAAAACGAAAGGGTATAACCAAAGAACAACACAACCAGATGTTCTGTGACAGAAGTTCTGTCACAGAACACAACAAATGATACAGTGTTGCCGTTGAGTTATTTTTGCATATATAAAGTTCATTTTTTTCTATCTGGACTGCGGCAACGTTGAAAATTTAGGGTTTTGGTTGATAAAATTTAATACGGAACCAAAATTGGTTGCATTGATCACAATCCACACAACAAGGTTTGTTCTATCTCATGCTAAAAATACTAAAAATCACTGCACAGAGTTTAACGGCGGCCATTTTTGTTGTTTACAATTTACAAGAATTATTAAACAGCACAAACCCAAAGAACAAGAATTGAATTCTTGTTCTTTAGGTTTGTGCTGTTTAATAATTCTTTTAAACGTTGTGTTTCTTACAGAGGCACTTGTAACTTAAAGTTTTTTCCCCGGATAAAAAAAACAAAGTGACTAGAAGTACACCGGGAGTACCGCCATTAAACGTACACCGGGTGGAAAAAAATCCTTATTTAGCATACCTATTTGTCAATTGTATAATATTAAACGGTCACTCAATTTCACGCAGTGATGCCAACTCGTGGGAAATTTCCCATTTTGAGGGAAATTTTACCTCAAATTGAGACAAATGGGAAAAAGGGAAAAATTTTCAAAAAAGGCCGTCCATGAGGGAAATTTATATAAATTCAAAATAAAAATTTATAATTAACCCTTTCCTACTTTTTCTAATCAAATAATTCGGATTTTTTTTACATTTTATGACTTTTTTCGTATTTTATACAAAAAATATATATAACCTTTAATGTAACAAAACTTTATTTGGATTTACATAATAAAAATATGTATTCTTTTAGAGATCAAAACAATAGGCCGTATTTATAGAAGAAAGGATATGCTTAAACTTGCAAAATATGAACGAAATCCTTCAGCTTTTATATAAATATAATCATTAATACAAGCTAAAGGATTTCCTTCATATTTTACAAATATAAGCATAAGGATATATCCTTTTTTATCAATATGGCAAATTGTTTTATAATTTTATTTTACATATATTTTTGTATTTATACACGTTGTTTTTTATAGGTTTACTAATAAATACTGTTGCTAAATTATTAAAATGCTGTTTTTTTCCAAAATAATATCTCTTATATTTAAAAAAAAACGGGTAACAGCATATTTCAAAAAGCGTGGGAAAAAAGGGAATTTTTGAACATTTTTGAGGGAAATTTGTTGCAAAAGGGTTGGCAACACTGATTTCACGCTCAATGGGGCGGGGTCGGTTGGGTTGGGTTGTTGAGTTTGGGTTGGTTTGGGTAATTCATACTGACATTTCATTAATTTTGTTGTTAATTGCATTTTAATCACTTAATTAAATTTTAATTAATGTTTATACAACTTGAAAGTTAGCTTAATAATTACATAATTAATATCAAGAGTTAACTAGCTGTTTACCAACTGTTATACAACTGGGCCTTAAGTCGTTTTTTCGCGTAAATACTATGTAATACTACGGTTAAATAAGTCATGACGTCACAGTTAATTCATATAACCATGGTTAGGTTTCTAACATTTGACATTTGTTTACTTGTTCATAACCTATAATTTTTGAAATGTGTTTTTACCTATTTATATTTAATTTCTATGCTTTTACCGGTGTAAATAAATTTCTTTGCTTCTTTTTATACCTAGTATATTCTTTTTCTATAGGTACTAGTTTTTTTAATACACGTTATCCAATTCTCCTACATGTTTAATACAAAATAAGGAAAAATATAAAAAAAACCTGCATATAATTCCTCCACTTGTGGAGATTCACAATATGGAGCACCCTATCATTTATTTTTACTGACAACACCCCGTTTACCATTTTAATACAAAGTTTAAATTCGGTTTAAGAGCAATTGTACATACTTAAAATATTTTAAATTTCAAATGTAAACAACTTCTTGACAGATCGAAACAGAGAAAAATATATATTAAAAAGAGAAAGACTATTAACCACGTTGAATAACTAGCTAACGATATACAGTGTGTATTAAAACGAATAGATACACTTAAATAAAACAAGTGCCAAACCACGCCCACTGTGGTAGGGATTGAATTTGTATCATTGTCGTATGATCTGTGCGCAGTGTTGCCAGCGTCAGTACGTTTGTACCGAATTCAGTACTTAAAAAAAGTAAGCAAGTACCTCGTTGATGGTTTTCGGTACGTTTTCCAGTTTTACATTTTTTTCCCTTTATTTAAATAAAAATTAAAGAAAAAATTAAAAGTTTAGGTTGGTTTAGGAGTTATTTTAGTATCCTGGTATTTTAAGTTTTAAACTGTTGGTAGCGCGCGTTGTCTACTTAGTGTTGACATAAGGTTTGTTCCAAGTTCGCCAAGAACCGCTCATAGGAATAATAGGAATTATTGAAGCCAAATACCTCAATCTTTGTTAAAAAAGAAAATTAATTATCGATAGGTAGACTATTTTTTAATTTTACCAACAATATTGTTTTTTTGTATAGGTATAATAATAATTATCTATTTTGTTCTTTTGATGTTTATAGTTTATTTATGTGCATGTGTTTATTAATAAATTACAAAATAAAATTACGTTCATATAAGTTTAATATTTATTTCTCAAAGTCAGTACGTTATCTTTCAAATTCAATAAGTTTTTATTGCCATTTCAGTACTTTAATTTCTCTACTACTGGCAACACTGTCTGTGCGTCAGTTTAAGAAATGCACTAAGACTTTGCGTACGTCTTTGTAAGAATTTAAGTATTTTCTCAAATAAAATGGTTTTTACTCGTGAGGAAAAATACCAAATTATGGTATGGCATCACACTGGTAGATCGTATCGCCAAATACAAACTTTATTTCAAAATATGTTTCAAAATAGGCCTTTACCCAGTGTAGCTACAATCCGCGGCATGCCGCGCTGTTGCCATATGCTATTATTGTTTCCTAAAAGGGTTGTTTTTCTTATTTTTTAATATTAAAAGTAAGAAAATTAACTAAATCAAATTATTTTTGACATAATATTAATTTTTTTGTTATTTTTAAAGTTTCAAACAAATAAAATTGAACTATTTATTAAATAATTATAATCGTACTCTTCTGATTTAAAACAACCTGGCAACTATGGTTCGTAATTACGAATGGCTTGGTTTAAACCACGCCCAATTAAAGTCTGTTTCTTTTCCTCTGATCAGAATATAATTTGTCATCCTTGTCTCCAGCCTTACTTACTTGATTCTATACAGTCTGTATAGTAAATTTAAAAGTAAACTACGTACACGTCATCAATCAGCTGATCGGGCACGGTTGTCAATGTGATGCTAAAATCCTTGCATCAAGGGAAAGTGGTAGTGCAACTACAGGGCGATAGATGGCGTTTACATGAATAATACCAAAATGTCAAAAGTCTCAGTTTTTATAACCTATATGATGCACCGCCAAAAGTATGTTTTTAGCCATTTTTAAAGACATTTTCTGATATAAAACCCAAAAATTTTGACATCTAAAGTCAGTCTCTGGTATATATATTATTATTTCATGTATCCAACATATATTTTGTTAAATATTCTAATATATAATTAATAATAATCCTATTTACCTCTCTAACAGCTGTTAAAGGTAACAAAGGTCCATTATTATCCCGTTCTGCCTCAAAATAGCGTATTAAGGATGACACCAACTCTTGACTCCGACTATTTAAATGCTTCAGCATTTTAAATATAGGAAACACAAAAAAACGATATATAACAAACACAAAAACGGCAATGAAAACTTAAACGATATACAATAACACAAACAACAAACAAAATAAACGAAATAATACACGAATTAAACGAAATATTCAAAAACACAACTGACAGCTTAGAAATTCTAAAACGTCAAATTCTTTTTTATGTGTCATTTAAATATGAAAAATTTGAATGTAAACATGACAACATCACAATTGTTGCCAACTTAATTTGGTTAAAATCCATTCAAATATTCAATTACAGACTTCGATTTAGTCATTTAGTGTTGGTACCAATGCGTAAAATTTTTGTTTTATTGATGACGTGTACGTAGTTTACTTTTAAATTTACTATAGTTTTATGGTCTGGTATTTGTGACGTCATAGTTAGGATTTTTGAACGCACTCTAAACGCAAAAATGCCTTAACTATTAACCACGGTTAAGTTTAATAACCATAGTATTTCATGGTATTTACGCGAAAAAACGACTTTAGTGTACCAATTTAATCTCAACTAATAAATCCAAAATTTTACCATCAGCTGGTATGGAAACACCCATGCGCACAAACCTGATGTACGTTTAATGCCCGTACTCCCGGTGTACTTCTAGTCACGGCGAAAAAAAAAACAAGACGCGTCAAACTGGCTAAGATTTGGCGCACGCGTCCTTTTTAAGCACGAGAGGTCACTTATATCGGTTATAAGCTTATAACCGATCCCATTGCCCATAACTTACAAGTTGTAAGTCTCAAATAAGGCCTTTAATGTCGGGTTTACGAGTAACTCGCGTGCGTTTGGAGGTCGCGTTTACGTGAGCTAGCCAACGCGCGCGACTGATTTAACTCATGGACCATGAGTTAAATCAGTCGCGCGCGTTGGCTAGCTCATGAGTCATGGGCAATGGGATCGTTTATAAGTGACCTCCCGTGCTTAAAAAGGACGCGTGCGCCAAATCTCAGCCAGTTTGACGTGTCTTGTTTTTTTTTATCCGGGGAAAAAACTTTACACCGTAAAAAGATCGCGCGCGTTGAAGCCGATATCACGTGACATGTAGTGTCCGACC